CATGGACCTGCTGCGTGCTGTGCTGCAGCCCAGCATCAACGAGGAGATCCAGGGTATCTTCAACAAGTACATGAAGGTGAGTGCTGGGCAGGCGGGCAGCAGCCTGAAGGTGCTGGGGACAGCTCGGGTGGCACCGAGGCCATCGTGCCTGGCTGTGAGCTGAGCTGGCACTGCACAGGCTGCCACCCTCTCCTGCCTTTTCCTCTCCAGTTCTTCCAGACAGCAGCCATCAACGTGCGTGATAACGTTGGTGAGGAGGTGGACCCAGAGCAGCTCATCCAGGAGACCTGCAGGAGCTGCCTGGAGCAGGTGGGTGATGGTGAGGTGTTTCTTGGGTGCCCAGCAAGCAAAGCAGCCTGGCTAGAATGTGTCCCTCTTAACAGCTTTGCTGTCACTGTGAGGGGACACCCACAGCCCTTGTATGACTGCCGTATTGGGATTCATTCTCATTTGGAAAAAGGGAGCAGTCAGGGCTGGGTAGCTCATGCTGCTTCTCACTGCTGCTGTAGGAACCTGGCACACTGCTGGAGTCCCACAGAAACTGGCTCCCAGTACCTGTCAGAGGGTCCTGGCAGGGTAGGGAAGGACTTTTCCTTTCATGTCTTGCTTATCTGCCAGTTCTCCAGAATTTATCATGCTCAGATTGTGCTTTTGCATCTGGCTGTCTGTGGAAGCATGGCATGGTAGCACTCCAAAAGCAAAGCTGCTGCAGGGCTTTTAGGCAGATATGTAGAGGTGGGGATTGGTTATGGGGCCGTCTCTGAGCCCAGAATCCATGGAACCTTCTTTGTCTTCCTGCAGGCCAAGCTGTTGTTCTCCGATGGCAAAAAGGTGGTTCCCAGGTTGCCCCATGAGCAGGCAGTGCCAAAGGTAATTGCTGTGACTGTACACAGAGGTTTAAATGACCTGTGAGAGCTTGGAGAAGAGTTGGGATCACTTTGTTCTCTGGCTCTTCTTGGCTGCCAGTGCAGTAGTGCAGAGGCAGAGTGGGGGATGTTTGGCTCAAAGGGAGTACAGGGCAAGGAGAATCCCAGGTGTGGGTGCTGCTTGCTGCAGTTCAGGCTGCTCACAGAGGTGGGCTGGGGTTAGTGTTCACCTGCCCAGGATGGGAGAAGAGCCCTGCTCATCCCACTGCCCTTCCTCCTCAGCGTGCCCGACAGATGGATGAGGAGCTGAGCCGCCGAGGGAGCCCCATTCCAAAAAAGGTACAGTGATTTCCCCACAAAATATTTTATTTTTGGGAAGCCTGGCCCTCGTTCCTGGCCATTCCCACAATGTGAGTGCATGGAGGTGCACAGGCAGCTTTTTGAGCCATTGGAGGTGCTCAGTCTGGTCCCAGGCAGTGTTTTTGCCTGTGACAAAAGAAGCAGCTTCCCTGGGAGAGGGAGGGTTGCTGAGAGGGTTCACAGGCAGCACAGCTGGGTCTCACAAGGGTTTTTTCCATGCAGAGGAAGGGGCGGCCTCCAGGACAGAGCCTGTCAAATGACCGTGGAGTCTCAGGCATGGCAGCGTGAGTACAAACCCTGAGCCAGAAGCCCTGTTTGGGGAGGGCAGAGGGCATGAGGCTGCCTGTGGGGAGCACAGAAACCCCACAGACTCCTCTCCTGCACAGGGGTGATGGGAGTTCTGGGTGTGGGCAAAAGCAGGGCTAGGTTGATGTGTTCCCCTAGGAGGCAAAGACCTTTAAAGGAGGGATTTTAAACAGGCCCAAAGGGGTGAAAAGGTCCAGATGGATCATTCAGAGTGAGTGGTGAGACACAGGGGATGGTGGGATCTGGGCAGCCAGGAGAGGAGGATGTGCAGCAAAGCTGAGGGTCCGAAGCTGGACACTGTGGGGGAATGGAGGGTGTGAAAAACAGTGGATCTGGAAGAGCTTGGGCTCAGTCCCTGCTGCTGGTGGTGACTGAGCTGATCCCCCTGGGACTCATTCTCACTGTGTTTTCCTTCCCCTCAGGTGGAAGCTCAAAGTCTCTGAGCCTGTGAAAAGGGATGGACCAAAGGTACAAGCTGTCCGACACTGCTGGGCTCCCTCTCTCCTCCCCTTTGCTCCCTCTGGCAGAGCCCTGCAGCTGCAGGAGCCCAGGACAGCGGGGCTGTGCTGTGCCCTGACGGGGCCCTGGGCAGGGCTGGAGCAAGAAGAGGAAGCGAAGTGCCCGGAGGCCCTTGCTGGTCTCCCCAGGCACCAAAACCTGTATCCCTGCAGTGTGGTGCCGCTAGGGCAGCCCTGAGGAGACCGGGAGTAGCCAGGAGAATCCCACAAGTGTTTCCCACGAGGGAAACTGCTTAGATCAGCCCAGATGGAATGTAACGTCCCTCCCCTGCGGAAGGCTGGAGGTCATTGGCCAGCTCCCTCCCTCCCAGCCTGGAGGCAGCTCCAAGGTTCCCTGTCAGAGAGCCGAGGCTTGTGGAGCGTGGCCAGCAGCAACTTCATTTCTAATGTTGCCCCTTTTCCAATTGCTCTGTAGTGGGATCCATCCCGACTGACTGAAACCACAACCTTTGTGCTGGGATCTCGAGCAAACAAGTAAGGAACGGCCCTGTCGATGGAGGGTGGCGTCCCCAGGCAGGAGCCCGTGACACTCCTCCCGTCACTTCGCTTCTCTGCCTCAGTAGGAAGGCCTTGGGGAGGAGAGGGGTGTCCCTGTGCCACCGCAGGTGCCCTGCCCACACCCCTAACACCCCCCATGTTCCTGTTGCAGGGCTCTCGGGATGGGAGGAACAAGAGGGCGACTCTACATCAAGCATCCCCACCTCTTTAAGGTCAGGTGCCACAGCCAGATGGTTTCCCATGGGAATTAGGAGTGTATGCTTCAGCTCCCTTGTTTACCTCCTCCCCCATGCCCTTGTTTGTTGTCTTAGAGCGCGTTCCCAAGGTTTGGCCAGCACACAACATGAGCCAATGGTGTCCTGTGCCTGCCAAGGCGGTGGGATGGGCAGAGCCAGGGCTGAGGCTGGAGCAGAGCAGGAGGAGCGGGGGGCAGAGCAGAGTGAGGGGCAGATCAGAGCAGAGTGGGGGGCAGATCAGAGCGGGGGACAGTGTCCTGCAGGAGGGGGAGCTTTCAGGGCAGGGTCTGTCACTTGTTCTCAGCTCGGTCCTTGGTGTTTATTGCAGTATGCAGCTGACCCGCAGGATAAGCACTGGCTGACAGAGCAGCAGCACATGAGAGCCATTGGGGGCAAGATGGTGAGTACAGCCAGCGCAGGGCCCGCCACAGGGGTGGGGACACTGCGCTGCCAGGGTCTGTGCCCTGCCCACAGCACTGGGGCATGGCCAGGAGGCACAGCTGGCTCCCACGGGGACAGCAGTGGCTGGGGGAATGGCCCTGCCCTGGCTGCCCCTCGCAGGCACCCTGAGGTGTCCCCCACCTTGTGTCACAGGCCTACCTCCTCATTGAAGAGGACATTCGGGATTTGGCCGCCAGTGAGGATTACAGGTGAGGAGCAAAGCAGAAACTCTGAAAGTGCTGCTGGGCCTGGGGCTGCTTCCCAGGGGATCCCCACCATGTGCCCCTCACTGCTGCATTGCAGGGGTGTCCTGTGCTGGAGGGACTCCCTGTGTGCTGGCTGGGGGGCTCGGTTATGGTTGTGGTTTGATGCCCAGGGGGCCATGTTGGTGACAAAGGTGTGGACTTGGTGTTGGTTGGGGGTCCGTGGTAGGTTTGGGCTCAGTGCTGAGATCCATGGTGGGTTTTGTGGGTCTGGCCTTGGTACTGATGTGTGCCAGGCGACATGGTGGGTTTGGGGTCATCAGTGGGTGCTGTAGTCCCTCCATCTCGCCCTCCTTCCTCCCCAGGGACTCTGTTGATCTGCGGCTGGAAGAGCTGAAGCCTTTCATCCCACCAGCCTGGATGACTGAGAAGATGCAGAAGCACATGGAGACGCTTCGCCGCGGGGGGGAGGTGCCGCCCCCCGAGGACCCCCCCGAACCCTGATGCCCCCCAATAAAGCCGCTTCGTTCCCACCTCGCCGTTTCCTGGCA